GCCTGCAATCCTGCAAGCCTTTGACCAATTGCAGGATACCCTGATGATTGCTCTTGATCCCTGAAGGCCGTTTACCAGTCTCTTCAACCCATCAATCATAGCTATCATGCATCATCCATCAGTGTGATGTCTTGTTCCTCTACCAAGGATGTACTCCTGGGGTCCCTGTACATGTACTCCTGGGTCCTAGTACATGTACTCCTGGGTCCTAGTAGGAACACGGAGTGGTGTTCACACTGTTGTGGTGGAACAAATGTTGTCAGTGAAGCACTTGTTCCGGAAGTGTTCGGACGTCATCAGTGCATGGCATGGACTTTGGGTCTGTGTTTACAGTACAGCTGCTGGGTTACCGAACACATTGGTGGTGTTGATGGGGGCGGGTACCGGCCGCTGTCTATGATAAAACATTATTATGTTTAAAGGTTTTACTGTAGGCTTGGCTGGGCTAGGCTTGGCTGGGCTAGGCTTGGCTGGGCTAGGCTTGGCTTGGCTATGCTTGGCTTGGCTAGGCTAGGCTACATGATCTAGGTCCAGGTAACCACTTCTGAAGGGCCTAATGGCCATTCTTCAAGTACTTAATTCCTAACACGGAGTTAAACACTTGAGAAAGAGGTGAACTTAGTTGCCAGTCGTGGGTGGAAAAACTGTAAAATGCGTGAATATTGGGCCGTAATGTGCAATAGCCTAAGGCCTGTTATTGCTCTTAGTACACATATTGTATTGACTGATTTATTTATGATTTAAATGATGCCGGCTGCAAGTATGAAACACTTTTGGCTAATATTATGTTGACCAATCCCGGAGGTAAGTAACTCGTCCATCCAGTCGTTCCTCATGAAGTATTCCTTTATTTCTGCGTCGTAAAATGTTTTATTTTGTCAAGCAAATGTCATCATATAACATGGGTTTCATAGGCGTAACTTAAGTGCTCGGGCGCCGCTTGTGCATGAGAGCATTGTGCAGTTTCCAACGTACCCGGCACAAAGCCTCAACATAAACACTGGCAACTGTCCTAGACTCTGAGTCCATTCCATCCAGCGGTCGACCCCACAGACACATTCATAAACATTAACTTGCTATTCATTCAAAACAGGAATATTCTCAAATATAAATTAGTATTATAATATATTGGCATATTGTTCATATAGGCATAGGTTAGGTTAGGTGTTTAGGTTCTGTTGGCGATTATTTGTATTTGTAGTAGGTGGGTGAAGCATTTACAGCGTTGTGGTTCGAACACCAGTCGTCAGTGAAGCACTTGTTCCGGAAGTGTTCGGACGTCAGCAGTTGAGTCGTGTGTAACAGTAATCATTCCTAAACAGCTGGGGTTGGCGGGTGGATGGAATGGTCTTTAGGTCGGGCTGGCGTAAATACTGGAGGCATCGAAACGTGCTTCACCCAGTCGGTGTTCGAAACGTGCTTCACCCAGTCGGTGTTCGAAACGTGCTTTTACTCAGTCGGAGTTCGAAACGTGCTTCATCCAGTCGGTGTTCGAAACGTGCTTCACTCAGTCGGTGTTCGAAACGTGCTTCACTCAGTCGGTGTTCGAAACGTGCTTCATAGAACACCACGCACTGTAAAAAACAAAATAATTCACGGGCAGAACACACGTCACTGCCTCACCTAGGCCTAACAGTATACAAACCCATGATATACAGTAATAATAATAATTTGTATTTGGGAAACTTACCGTTTGTTAGTATGAGAGCGCATGCGGGCCGCCGCCAGCCACAGCTGGGTGGGGTAGTGGGGCCTGGAGGCCGGCGGCTTGTTGTCACCACCCGGTCAGTGTACCACCCCTCCCGTGACAGTGTACGACCCCTCCCGGTCAGTGTACGACCCCCTCCAGTGACAGTGTGCGACCCCCTCCAGTGACAATGTACGACCCCTCCAGTGTACGACCCCCTCCAGTGACAATGTACGACCCCATCCAGTGACAATGTACGACCCCTCCAGTGTACGACCCCCTCCAGTGACAGTGTACGATCCCCTCCGGTGACAGTGTACGACCCCCTCCAGTGACAATGTACGACCCCTCCAGTGTACGACCCCCTCCAGTGACAGTGTACGACCCCCTCCAGTGACAGTGTACGACCCCCTCCGGTGACAGTGTACGACCCCTCCAGTGTACGACCCCCTCCAGTGACAGTGTACGACACCCTCCGGTGACAGTGTACGACCCCTCCAGTGTACGACCCCCTCCAGTGACAATGTACGACCCCTCCAGTGTACGACCCCCTCCAGTGACAGTGTACGATACCCTCCGGTGACAGTGTACGACCCCTCCAGTGTACGACCCCCCCGGTGACAGTGTACAACCCCCTCCGGTGACAGTGTACGACCCCTACAGTGACAGTGTACGACCCCCTCCGGTGACAGTGTACGACCCCTCCAGTGTACGACCCCCTCCAGTGACAATGTACGACCCCCTCCAGTGACAGTGTACGACCCCCTCCAGTGACAGTGTACGACCCCCTCCAGTGACAGTGTACGACCCCTCACACCTACTTGTTGTGACCACTACCAACTGTGGTCTGGTCTACCACACTGTGGTCTGGTGTGTAGAGGAAGTGTAACTCTCAAAACCCTCCACAGGTATGATCCAGGTACCTTCAGGTTGATAAAATTCTCCTGGCATGACTGTTGTAACTCGTTTTTAACGGTCTATTTTGCACTTCCTGCCATGTCTCGTGGTCTCGTCTGGAACTGTCAGTCTGCAGATTTCCAACCAGCTGGGGGATGGGGGGCCGCACCCCAGGTACAGCTGGGGGGGGCCGCACCCAAGATACAGCTGGGGGGGCCGCACCCCAGGTACAGACGGTATAAAAAGACTCGTTTGGCTCCATTTTTTTGAGAGGCGGGAGATTGGATCATTGAGAACGACATTAGCCTATATAGGTGGTGGCCCCGGCCGCGCCCCCGTGGCGGCCAGGCCCCGGCCGCGCCCCCGTGGCGGCCAGGCCCCGGCCGCGCCCCCGTGGCGGCCAGGCCCCGGCCGCGCCCCCGTGGCGGCCAGGCCCCGGCCGCGCCCCCGTGGCGGCCAGGCCCCGGCCGCGCCCCCGTGGCGGCCAGGCCCCGGCCGCGCCCCCGTGGCGGCCAGGCCCCGGCCGCGCCCCCGTGGCGGCCAGGCCCCAGCCGCGCCCCAGGTACTGAAGGGAGCCATGAGCAGGTCTTGCGGGTAAACGGCGGGAGTGAGACCCTCTCGCGGCTAAGTCAGTCAGTTTGCTCCACCTGGCCGAGGCACCTGCGGGACCTGCCATCGTCAACTAACACGCCTCACACGCTGCTCCGAGATTTTAGTAGGTAGTGATCATGTCTTCCTACGCTCTCCTGTCCTCCAGCGACGTGAGGTGCAGTTCACATAACCTTTTCTCGTAGCTCATGCCTCTTAGTTCTGGGACTAGCCTATTGGCATACCTCTGAAATCTTTCTAGCGTCGTCTTGTGCTTGACAAGGTGCCGACTCCATGCTGGGGCCGCATACTCCAGGACTGGTCTTACATACCAGTGCCTGCTACTCTCCATGGTGTATAACAAATCACTAATAACAGGTGAACTGGTCCTCGTACACTTACCGTTTATTGTGAACTGTGATCTGCCCTTTTCCTCAGTTTCATTACCTGTTCCTTCACTGTTATTTTTCTCCTGATGCGACTGTGCACCAATTTAGGTTTAGTCTTTGCCTTGCTCCCTCTCTCATTTTCATATTGCCCTTCTGCCTCTCTTCTCACCCTGACACATTCATTCCTGGCACACTGGCATTCTTCTCTGCTCTCAAGTGTCCTGTTATTTCCAAAAGTTTCCCCATCTTGATGTTATCTTGAGATGATTTCGGGGCTTTAGTGTCCCCACGGCCCGGTCCTCGACCAGGCCTCCACCCCCAGGAAGCAGCCCGTGACAGCTGACTAACACCCAGGTACCTATTTTACTGCTAGGTAACAGGGGCATAGGATGAAAGAAACTTTGCCCATTGTTTCTTGCCGGCGCCTGGGAACGAACCCAGGACCACAGGATCACAAGTCCCGCGTGCTGTCCCCTCGGCCGACCGGCTCCTTCATGCCCTTGTACTTAGTTAATTTTCTAGCCTACATCTCTGATTAAACCATGGGTTTCTCATCTGCATTCCCGTTTTTTTCCTTTTGGACTGGGGCAAACCTGTCTGCTGCGTCCTTACACTTCTGCATGATAAAGTCCATCATGTCTTGGCCCGTCTTTCCTCTTAGTTCAGTTTCCCATGTTATATCAGTTAGAAATTTTCTTATCTCCTCATAGCTGTCCTTTCGGAATACCAGCCTTTTGTTTTCAGTACCCCTCCTCGAGTTCATTAACCCTTGTTCGACCAAATACTCAAACGTCAGCACACTGTGGTCGCTCATTCCTACTGGGGCCTCGAAACCGATTTCCCTTATGTCGGAATCATTCAGAGTGAAGACTAGGTCGAGTCTCGCTGGTTCAGCGTTGCCTCTCATCCTTGTAGGTTCCCTAACATGGTGGCTTAAAAAATTTCTTGTCGCCACCTCCAGTAGTTTAGCTCTCCATGTTTCCTCTCCTCCATGCGGTTCCTTGTTCTCCCAGTCTATCCTTCCATAATTGAAGTCCCCCATGATGAGCAGGTGGGATCTATTTCTACAGGCAGCAGAGGCTGCTCTCTCAATTATAGTGTTGCCTGCCATGTTTTGTCATACTTTTATCTTGGTCTTCTGTCGTTTGGCGGAGGGTTGTATATCACTGCTACTACTCTTGGTCCCTCCGTGGTCACGGTACCTGTTATGTAGTCTCTGAATCCCTCGCAGCCCGGGATAACCATCTCCTTTGAACTCCATTCCTCTCTCATTAGTAGGGGCACTCTGCCTCCTCCCCTTTCTTTCCTCATTGCAGTGTAGTCCTGGGAAAACACCGCATTCGTTATGATTCGTGATAGTTTTGTTTCCATGACTCCAATTACATGTGTTCTCTCTTGTTGCCTCGCCACCTGCTCACCGCCCTCTCCCTCTCCCACAGGACGGGGTGGAGCTGACTGTGCCGTCGCTCGACGCCCACCGCCGCCACTCCTTCCTCCACCAGCACCACCAGGATGACGACGACGACGACTTCTCCACCACTACCAGCACCACGGGCGGCGCAGGTGGGCTGTGGGCGGCCAGTGTGGGCGGCTCCTCGGGTAAGCGGCCCCAGGCCATACCCGCCTCGGAGAGCTTCATGGGCGTCCCCGGCCACCTGTTTCGTGGGTGTTACGGCGCCCTCGACCCCCACAAGAAGGGCGGCCAGCCCGCCCTCGCTCTCCAGCGGTGTCTCCCGCCGCCATATTGGCGAGGCAAGAATATGGCCAGACTCATCAAGGTAAGTCGCTTCCCTTTGTTTACCCTTACAGGTGGGTACAGGGGCACTGTTTACCCACACAGGTGGGTACAGGGGCACTGTTACTCCCACAGGTGGGTATAGGAGCACTGTTACCTCCCACAGGTGGGTACAGGGGCATTGTGTACCCACACAGGTGGGTACAGGGGCACTGTTACCTCCCACAGGTGGGTACAGGGGCACTGTTACCTCCCACAGGTGGGTACAGGGGCATTGTTACTCTCACAGGTGGGTACAGGAGCACTGTTACCTCTCACAGGTGGGTACAGGAGCATTGTTACTCTCACAGGTGGGTACAGGGGCACTGTTACCTCCCACAGGTGGGTACAGGAGCATTGTTACCTCCCACAGGTGGGTACAGGGGCATTGTTACTCTCACAGGTGGGTACAGGAGCACTGTTACCTCCCACAGGTGGGTACAGGGGCACTGTTACCTCCCACAGGTGGGTACAGGGGCACTGTTACCTCCCACAGGTGGGTACAGGGGCACTGTTACCTCCCACAGGTGGGTACAGGGGCATTGTTACTCTCACAGGTGGGTACAGGAGCACTGTTACCTCTCACAGGTGGGTACAGGAGCATTGTTTACCCCCCACAGGTGGGTACAGGGGTATTGTTTACTCCCACAGGTGGGTACAGGGGCATTGTTTACTCCCACAGGTGGGTACAGGGGCATTGTTACTCCCACAGGTGGGTACAGGGGCATTGTTACTCCCACAGGTGGGTACAGGGGCATTGTTTACTCCCACAGGTGGGTACAGGGGCATTGTTTACTCCCACAGGTGGGTACAGGGGCATTGTTTGCTCCCACAGGTGGGTACAGGGGCATTGTTTGCTCCCACAGGTGGGTACAGGGGCATTGTTTACTCCCACAGGTGGGTACAGGGGCATTGTTTACTCCCACAGGTGGGTACAGGGGCATTGTTACTCCCACAGGTGGGTACAGGGGGACTGTTACTCACACAGGTGGGTACAGGAGCACTGTTACTCCCACAGGTGGGTACAGGGGCACTGTTACTCCCACAGGTGGGTACAGGGGGCACTGTTACCTCTCACAGGTGGGTACAGGAGCACTGTTACTCCCACAGGTGGGTACAGGAGCACTGTTACTCCCACAGGTGGGTACAGGGGCACTGTTACCTCTCACACGTCGGTACAGGGGCACTGTTACTCCCACAGGTGGGTACAGGAGCACTGTTACCCACACAGGTGGGTACAGGGGGCACTGTTACCTCTCACAGGTGGGTACAGGAGCACTGTTACTCCCACAGGTGGGTACAGGGGCACTGTTACCTCTCACACGTCGGTACAGGGGCACTGTTACTCCCACAGGTGGGTACAGGAGCACTGTTACCCACACAGGTGGGTACAGGAGCATTGTTTACCCACACAGGTGGGTACAGGAGCATTGTTACTCCCACAGGTGGGTACAGGGGCACTGTTTACCCACACAGGTGGGTACAGGGGCACTGTTACTCCCACAGGTGGGTACAGGGGGACTGTTACTCCCACAGGTGGGTACAGGAGCATTGTTTACCCACACAGGTGGGTACAGGGGCACTGTTACTCCCACAGGTGGGTACAGGGGCACTGAACCTCATGAACCCTGAGGTTCGTGCTGGGTATGGGCTGACACAGCACTCCGTCATGGCCGACATACACACTCCCAAAGCGACACATGACGGCTTGACGGCGGACAGAATGACGCCGTGACAATCATTCTTGGCGCCCAATACTTGGTGTATACGAGAGGACCTCCTCTCGCCCCCCTGTGTTAAACCAGGGTTGGGGAAGCCAGTACCAAACCAACAATTAAGAGCCACACACCTGCACTATAATGACAGACAAGGCAACACAATTTTGTGCTTGTTACAGCTAGACCACCTCCTGCCTGGCCAAGCCCGCGACCTGGGCCAGGCCGAGCCCGCGAGCTCCGGCCTGGCCGAGCTCCGGCCTGTAGGGAGGAGGAATCCTGTAATATTATTAACGCGATGACAACGCTAAAGGCTGCCATGGTCACAGGGAAGCAAAAGTATCGGCAGGAATTGATAAGGAAGCTGGAAATAAATTGGATTCAATCTACACTGAAGGTTCATCTGATCTCATTAAGTGCAGAGAGAGATGGTTATAGAGAATTGGTCTTGGATACAAGGCCCAGACGAGGTCTGTGATGAAACAGGTTGGGCAACGGAGCTACAGAAGTTGTGGTGATGCATGACCCTGTATGAGTGACCTCTGGTACCTCACACACACACACACACACACACACACACACACACACACACACACACACACACACACACACACACACACACACACACACACACACACACACCTGTACCCATGTTTAAAAGTGGGGAAGTCGGTTTAGAACAGGAATTCCTCCAACTGGTTAGAAATGTTAAAAAAAGATATAAGGAGAGCAAAAAGTAACTATGAAGTTCGTATAGCAGAGCAAGCAAAGACAAATCCTAAAGGTTTTTTTCAGTTATAAGAACTAAGATTAGGGAAAGGATAGGTCCATTAAAATCTGAGACAGGTCAAATAACGGATAATGACTAAGAGATGAGTAGTGCTTTTAATAAATATTTTGTATCTGTATTTACTAAAGAGGAAGTTAACAATATGCCTTCAGCCGAACAAGTCTATGTGGGTGGGGACGAGGACAGGTTGACGAGTTTAACAGTTACCAGGGAGGATGTTCTTAAACAAATAATAAAACTCAAACCAAACAAATCCCCAGGGCCGGATGAAGTGTTTGTCAGGGTGCTTAAAGAATGCAAGAGGAGCCATGCGATAAAATTGAATGAATTCTAATACATCCATTAACTTTCAACTGAAAGTCTAGATGGGCTCCTGAGGAAGGGACTGCTGAGCTAACAAGCTAAGTGTAGTAAGCAGTTCATTCCCCACTCTAGAAACCATAGACAAATTATAAAGGCGCAGGCTAACGCCGAGACCTCAACAGTTGACATCCCTTATCAGTGAGCCGTCGACCTCTGCCATTGGCTGAGAGGCAGACTAACGGGCAGGTCGCGGGATCTCTCAACAATATTTAGACTTGTTGTGTGGCGCTATCACTTCACCTCGAGGCTCAAGAAGCAGTCTCAGATTACTAACAATAACTTCAGGTAACATGGCAGCATATATGTCAATCATTAATAGTGCAGAGTGTGACGAAAGACAACATTTAACTAAACAACACAGTTTATTCAAGTAATAACTGCTACTACAATAAAAGTATCACTGACATTACTCTAAATCCTTCCTGTGACACCTATAGGACAGCTGGACACCAGCCCGAGTATGACTACAGGATCCTTCCTGCTATCGCGTTGGGCGGAATATGAACCAACTTGAACAGTGCCGAGTGTTCATAGACGAAGCAATCATGCAATAAGATACTAAGTCTGTAATTACAAATTCCAACAAGGTAGGTAGGTAGGTAGGTTAGGTTAGGTTAGGAGACAAGTCTCCGATAACCTTGGTTATCTTGAGGTTATCTTGAGATGATTTCGGGGCTTTTTTTTTTAGTGTCCCCGCGGCCCGGTCCTCGACCAGGCCTCCACACCCAGGAAGCAGCCCGTGACAGCTTACTAACTCCCAAATACCTATTTACTGCTAGGTAACAGGGGCATTCAGGGTGAAAGAAACTTTGCCCATTTGTTTCTGCCTGGTGCGGGAATCGAACCCGCGCTACAGAATTACGAGTCCTGCGCGCTATCCACCAGGCTACGAGGAACCTCCTAGTAGTTACTTTACGCTCTTCGCAGCCTGTCCTGCAAGGCTGTTGCAATGCAATCAAACTAGTCAACCCGTTCTCGCACTTTCGTATAGTCAATATTGACTTATTAAATATGTGCATATGTGACAAACTTAACATACTAGTTTACCTTGAAAAGCTTCATAGAAAACACGACCTTACCTAACCTTCTTAGTATGTTAAGATAAGCATCTTATTGCTTCGTAATTACAATTGTTACTTAACCCATTTTAGGTATAGGTTAGGTAATAATTGTAATTACGAAGCAATAAGATGCTTATCTTAACATACTAAGTAGGTTACGTAAGGTCGGTGTTTTCTATGAAGCTTTTTAAGGGAAACTATTATGTTAAGTATGTTACCTATGCACATATTTAATAAGTCAATATTGACTTATTAAATTTGCAAGAACGAGTTGGAACATGGCCCAACCTATTGCAACTCACTTGCAAATGACAATTACTGAAAACACAGTAATAATACAATTGGCTTCGTGACACTATAATTCTCGTACCTGCTGACCTCACCTGTAGCTCTCTGCTATTAAACGCTATGTGCAACACTAAGGAGATGCTCACTCTCCTAATCAACTTAGGCAAGTAATTAGTGATCCCCCGGATCGATAATTACTCCTATGAGTTTACGCTACTCGACAGAGCTGTCACTCCTGACAGCTGTTACTCACTCCTCCACAAAGTTACGCTAAACAGGTCAGCTACGCATATATATATATAAATTACACTTGTCACAGCCTAGGAACACACAATACACTTGTAATAAACACACACAGTGGCAACACTCCACAATATCCTAAATCAGGAAATCTCCCGGTGTTACAACACTAAGTATCTCTGATGACCGGAACAGGATCTCCTGGAATGGACTTCACATGCTGGCAAGTTGGTTTAAATTCTTAGATTCTGTCGACGCGTCCATCTAGAGAAAGTGGACTTAAAATGGACCATTAAAAACAAAGGGGAAGATAGACTATATCAACACTTTCGGCAGCCTCCTCCATGGGAAGACTGGAGTCTAAAGATAACCATTGAAGGATTATCAGTTAAAAAAATCAGCATGTGACTCGCAGAGGCTCAAAACAGTCGTAGAACAACTGGAAACCATCTCAAGACCTACAACGACTCGCATCTTCACAGACGGATCAGTTGATCAAGAAAAAGGTTCTGCTGGGGCAGCAGTTTACACTACCAACCATGAAGCT